CCTAATTACCAGCTCAGAAATTTCAACAACCTCAATCTGATTCTAAGTACTTAACATCAGGACGAGGCAGCTGAAGTTTCTGGGACACATAATGAAGAAGGAGGGTCTGGAGAATCTGATACTCATAGGTCGAATAGAGGGAAAGAGAAACAAGGGAAAACAAGGCATGACATACCTAGCGGCTTTAAGCAAGTGGATGACAGAACGTGGTCTGGGGGAGGAAGCAGAAGGAAGGAACTTGTTGAGAGCTGCAAGGGATAGAGGGAAATGGAGAGCCATGATCGCCTACATCCTGAAAGGACATGGCACATAAAAAGAAAGAACCCCTCCCTCGGCATAGACATGTATATACGTCTTTACCGAAAGTGTATTTTACAGATAAATAAACACGTCCAAAACATAACGTTCAAAAACAATGCTAGAGACGTGTTTATAGGTCGACTTTAATTCGTTTTATGCCCTTCTAAGCTTGAAATGCGTCCAATTGTGAACTCATACATCTGGTAGAGATGTTGGCCACCGCTAGGGTACTTCAAGGTGCTTCAGTTTTCTACATTAAAAACGAATAAAAACTTCGTCTGAAAATAAAACTTCCTCGTTGCTCATATGTTCTTTTCATGGTACCCTTAGCATCCTTCTGTTGCTTCAAGTCTTTTCTTCATCTGTGAGAAAATTGTCCAGCATTCACTGTCATATAGGAGTTATATGACCTAGCAGTTCATGACCCATTTCTTTGTTTCTCACTAGATTTTCCTCTTTCTTAATATTTTGTTTAGCTTTTAGATTTCATCTTTTATTATCCCAATTCCTCTTCCAGTTTTTGTTACATTTTCTGTCGTCTGTCATTACACTTGCCATGAAATTAAATTTATGCAATAGCTTGATTAGATGTGTGCTTACTAATCATGTACTCGTAAAACCAAACCTACAAATAACTAGCCGCATTTTATCTGCATGGGTTCATAAAGCGACCGAATAAAAAGTGAATGTAATACTGTCCTTCTTATACTCCTTTACTACTCACTGAGCGTCATCTTTGCATGATACCCGCTCATTGGCAGAGGCAGACAGGCGGGCGATTTCAGCAGGCAGATCACTGATCAAAGAAAGTTATCTTACAACGCCCCCCCTCAACTCTGTCTCTCTCTCAATGCGAATTTATTGACCAGCGCATGCGCATACGGTAACAAACACTGGAAGCTTGATAAGGCACGGCAAGACGAGACAGATAAAAAGAGAAAATAATAAGAAATATACGCATAAATCAATAAAAAGACGAAAGGTTTGTAATAAAATAGGTTTATGTTTCGGTGTTGGGGCAGGATGTCTTCAATCGACGTCTTAGAGAGGACAACATTGAAAACGTGAATTACTCGGAATCGAAGTTATATAATTCTGAAAACACTGGGGCGAGTTTGATTCAATCGCTTGGAAAACCTTTCAATACGGACTTCAAAGCTGTCCGTTATTTAAAAAAAAACAACAGTAATATAGCCTTTGAACTGAAAGAGAAAAACATACAAACGATTATGAAAGCAATGAAGACTAGAATCATTAGCAAGCACTTATCAGATGACACGTTTCTACTAGAATATTAAAACCGTTAATCAGCTATATTTACCTATCAATACATTTTTTCAATGCATTTCTATAGTAAATTGGCTATTATACGTTGAATATACCAATTCTATCACTAATCATGGCATTAATTCCTAACCACAGACAATCCATTTCTGATTTTCATTGCACTTCTGTAGTAAATTAGCTATTATACGTATAATAGATTTATTCTATCACTAATCATAGCATTAATTCCTGACCACAGACAATCCCTTTCTGATTTTCAATGCACTTCTGTAGTAAATTAGCTATTATACGTGGAATAGATTTATTCTATCACTAATCACAGCATTAATTCCTGACCACGGACAATCCTTTTCTTTCTGATTTTCAATGCATTTCTGTAGTAAATTAGCTATTATACATATATTAGACCTATTCTATCACTAATCATAGCATTAAAAACCAAGATTAAAAACGGATACTGATTTCAAGGGGTGGGGCAGACAAAGTCTATCCATTTTTTAATATTTATATAATATATATATATATATTACGTACCACCCTCTTTTACTGTTATGGTAGTAGTGAGAGGCACAGTAACACATAATATAAAATCACAAACTCTTTTCCCAATGGTCCTTTCCTGATTGATCAAACACGGTTCAGCTAAATGGAATCAATTAACGAACAAATACGATAGGTGACAAACAGCAGAATGCGAAGATATAGGGATATAAAATAACCATTTTATTACTAAAATATACAAATGGCTATTAAATATGTTGGCCTATATTAAAAGTTGAAAGACGGGGAAAAGCAAACAATGAGACAAAAATAAATATTACGGGACAAAACAATGGAGGAAGTTATCTTTTCAGAAAAGTAAATATTATATTGACAAACGACCTTGTGCCAGACTTGCATGAAATTACAAATCACAAAAAGGCAAAATGAGCAAAGTTAAAACAGGCAATAGAAATAAAGAACTTATCTGTTTTTTGAAAGTCTTTCTTTTTCTCTTCCTTTTCTTTTAGTGTCTCTTTATATGTTTCTTTCTCTTATATTTCTTTTTATCTTTTATCTTCTCTCTTCTTGCTTGGTAGAAAGTTTATCTGTCAAAATAGATTTCTTTTTGGTTTCCTTTTTTTCTTTTTCGTCTTGTCCAGGGGTTAAGGGAAGAATAAGTCGAGTCTTTCTTTTCCTTAGCTCTCAGAATAATGTATCTTTCTTTTCCTTAGCTCTCAGAATAATGTATCTTTCTTTTCCTTAGCTCTCAGAATAATGTATCTTTCTTTTCCTTAGCTCTCAGAATAATGTATCTTTCTTTTCCTTAGCTCTCAGAATAATGTATCTTTCTTTGTTTCGCCGGAGTTTGATTTTTTTTGAATCAACACTCTACTGAATCTTTTCAGCTCAGAAACCTTTATAGATTTCTATCAATTCCGTACATCCAAATTTATAGCAAATCATAGTAAGTTTAGCTGAACGTCCATTCAGTTTGAATACTGAAGAAGACTGACTTGGTGGCGGTATTTATTTACGCGCCTCGATTTTGGCACGTGATCCATGACTTCCAAATATGGATTTTTACATGTGTGGGCAAAAAGAGGTCACTGACCCTTTTCCATTTTCTGCTGTCTGTGTGTGAGTGTATTTAGGCAGCAATCATTCTTTCATGCACATTTCATTGAATACGACAGACAAGGTGCTTTGATTTAGATTTTTATACAATTTCTCATGTGATCTAATATTTTTCTTTTCAGATGATAAATTATATAAAAACTGTGCGAATGTTCTATTTATATGAGCTTTTTCGGCTATAAATTATCCATTTTCAAGGTTAAAATATATTAACTGAGAAATAGTTTGTTGCATGTACATATCTATATAATGTTTTCATCTTCAAAACACGGTCAAGATATTGTGTCCATGTTCATATATCATATATATATGTGTGTGCGTGTGTGTGTGTGATAACAAATATAGTTTTAAGATCAAACTGTCTCCACATATAATGCCCTGTTTTCATTTGGGTCTTGTCGGTACGGCTGAGAGTGGGGCCATGTAGTCTGGGTAGCGCAAGGCTCCATATACCATCGCCTGTGTAAGAGAGGGAAAGATCTGGATTCAAACCACCAGCTTCTTTGTAGGTCTTGCCTCTTTAACTTCTGAGAGGAGAGACGGAGTAACCTCAATATCCCCGGTGCAAAAGGAACCGGCAAATGATTTTTGTCATTTGCAATTTCGTGCAAGCCTGGCACAAGGTCGTTTGTTAATATAATATTTATCTTTCTGAAAAGCTAAGTCCCCCCCATTGTTTTGTCCCGTAATATTTATTTTTGTCTCATTATTTGCTTTTCCCCGTCTTTCAACTTTTAATATAGCCCAACATATTTAATGCCCATTTGTATATTTTAGTAATAAAATGGTTATTTTTTATCCCATATCTTTGCATTCTGCTGTTTGTCACCTACCGTGTTTGTTCGTTAATTGATTCCATTTAGCTCGGCCGTGTTTGATCAATCAGGAAAGGACCATTGGTAAAAGAATTCGTGGTTTTATGATTCTGGCTTGAATGTCACCATGAACCAAAATTGTGAGATGGAGGGGAGTGGTGATCCCACAGCGGAGCAAAATGCGCTAACTAACTAAATAAATGAATGACAGGCGTATTTCAGAGCCAATGCAGGTTCTGATTTCCATAATTACAATAAAACGAGTCACACGAATCTTTTTTTTATAGCCTATTAATTGTTTAATGTCAGTAAAAAAAATTCGGTAGTTAATTTAATTAAATGTGAGACAGAAACACAAGTGGGCAAACACGATTGACAAAATGGCGCCGAATCAACTTGCTCGACGCATGATTGCCTGAAAACTTCAATTTGTAAAAGAAAAAAAAATAGCGCAATGAACAAGGTCTGTATATCCAAATTTATATCACGCCCCCTCAGATACCAACTTGCAAGAGAAAAAGAATAATAGAAAAATGAAAGATATATCATGTACATGTAGCCTCCCCACGGCGACGTGATGTGACACAAGGCTGGGTTTAATGTGGGCGAAACCTGAGAGCGTACACCCAGGCCAGAGACAAAAATTGTTCAACACTTGCAACCTTCGGTTGCGCTGACATCGATATTCCTAGCGATCCCCTCTCTCTAATGCAATGAGGGAAGTACTATCGCGGGAGGTTGTTCCCCGTGAAAGGACACCTTGTAGTATTTTCCCCCAGATGCGCTCTGCCCGAAGACAGAGATGCACCTGAGAGATGATATACCCTTACCTGTGCCAGGTAAATATCATGTAGATGAAAGTTAAATATATATTTTATTGTCATGTATTACTATGGATTTTAGAAGTGAAACAGATGAAATTACAATTTTTCTTTTGTTGAATATAAGTTATTATTCGGTTTCCTTTGCTAACTAATTGGCTTACGGTCATATTACGTCGAAACATTGGTTCCGGTACGATTTAACGAAGTTAAGCAACATCGAGCCTGGTCAGTACCTAGATGAGTGATCGCTTGTGAATTCCAGGTGCTGTAAGCTTGGATGTGCGGACGGTGTAATCGATAACGTTTCGGAATTGTTAATCGGTGAGTCGAGTTTCAATTCTCGTTGGGTTATATTCACTTAGGCGCAATTAACCCTGGGAAAGGTATGACTGCACCTATTCTACCCCCACCTATGGATGAATTAGTAAGACTTGTATCACTAAACCATTATTATCTACAGTCTAAAAATCTTTTCTGGCTTAAATTAGCCGTAGAAAACAGATAAATCAAATTACGAAATAATTGCCTGACTACGAAATCAGTAAAAAAAAAATCATCATTATTATCAACGATTGGGTGTGGTCGTAGAGTCACTATGTAGCTGAGGACTTGGCCAGTATAACTTACCAGGGCCAAAGAAATAAGCTGCAACTGACCAATAAAGATGATAGTTGTGTGGATTACAAAACTGAATATCATCATAAATTGTGGTCATAAGGTCGCTAAACAACTGACCAGTTCTTTCCACATATCTAGGTTGAAAGCCAAAGATGAATTCATTCATGCATAGAATGTTTTGGATAATTAGAGCTGGAGGAGCCCATCCCTCTCCGAGTCAAACCATAGCCAATGCACTGAAGATTCACTCTTTGCACTGGCTGCTGACTTCAGTCTAGGAAGCCCTCTGCTCAGTGATGCAGTGTCAAAACCAGATTGACAGAATACATAACTATGGAGCCTTTGTTTACCACATTGTACTGGATAGAAATTGGCTCTGCAAGAAGGTTAATCCAGACTTTGACAGGATTTTTAATCCTGCTGTCTGGCCACCCTCCTCGCCTGAAAAACAGGATAGGGAAAGTTTAGTCGGTGTAGTCGACCTGACCAATCAACCAAGTACCCCTTATACAGACCCTGTTTATAATAATAATAATAATCCATTAACGCCAACAGGACGAAATGTACTCAGATTACACCATTTAACTGAAAACAAGTTATAAAATCCAAAGAAAAACAAAAATATACAACGGAAAGGTAATAAGTATATTTTAACACAATGTTCACACTCGTAATGGTTAGCAGCTCACGAAATTGTCGAGTCGAGTTCGAATTCTAGTCGAATTTCATTACATTTACATTTGCACAAATACGCTTGAGAAAAGTAAGAATCTGCACTTTTCTCTACAACTATAGGTTAAATAGTAAGGCAGATTTGGTACTTCAGCCTTGGTTGGAAACCAATCTAGGACAACTCTATTGGAAACCGATTTGGCTGGCGGCGAGCAACTGAATCCCGTAAAATCTTACCTGTTAAGGGAACCACATCAGAAACAACTAGCGTGTTGAGAGTTGGGGGCACACCGGGCTTTTCAGCTTTGGTTGTAAGCCAGTCTAGGATAACTCTGTGTTGAAAACCAGTTGGCTATGGGGTAAGCAACGCTATCCTGTAAAAACTTACTACTGTAACTACAGCAACAACTAATAGCCACATAATCCTCAGTGGACGGGACATGAGTGCGTACACACGCTCAACTAAGAAAAATAATAAAAGTTTATTAAATAAAAACAGCTTCTATCCAACGTGGGAAGCGAGTGAATACTCAGGTCAGGTGGTTCTCCTCCATGTTGGCCATTACGCCCGAAATATCAAGACATCAACGAGTCCTTGATATCACTGGACCCGGTAGTTTGTCTCCTTTTCGACGACGCAAATAGTCCAGGTGATTCAATTCAAGAAAGCTTGCTGGCAGCATGTTGCGAGTGACATGATCGTAAATGTTCTGAGTTAGCCACTCGTGGGTCACGTGGCCTCTGTGAAGGGAACAGAGCCATCTGTCGTTCTTCCTGTTAATCTAGCCATTTTCAAAGAAGCGGTTATCCCCGATTCCCTACGGTTGCTGGCTTGCCGTTTCGTTTTCTTTGTAAAACTGGAGGCTTCTCTGTTAATGTTCTCGATGAGTCTGTAAGAGAAACCAGAATGTTAAAACTTAGCGCGTGCTGCGTAACACTATATTAGGTCATCTTCTATTTATAGCCGGTTGAAAATGTGTCCTCAAATACCTTGTGCAGCTGTAGTTTCAAATATTCTGGGGCTGGTGATTTCACTTTTCCTGTTTGTTACCCTATTAATTTTTATTAGATCTCATTTTGTGATATTCTTAAAGCTTGTTTTTCGTGTTCTCATCGTGCCAATATTTTCTCTTTCATTACTGTTCAACTTTCTGCGCAGTTTCTATCGTTGTTGTCTTATCACTTAATAAGATCACAATGTCTTGTTTCTATTTTAAGATATCTTTCATACAGCCCGTGTAACTCTGTCTGTGTGTGAATATATATATATATATATATATATATATATATATATACATGGTGAAAATAAATGAACGCAAGTTTTAAAACCATTATAATGCAAAGTAAGCAATAGTAAAAAAACAACAACATATATTTTTGCAAAAATGTGTAAGAAATGAAGTCTATGAAATTACAACAAACATTCAATTGTTCCTCCATTTTGTTCTATAACAAACTTTGCACATTTGGTCAAATTAATGAGAAACTATCCATAACTTAATGCGTGCCTTCAGTTCTAAAGAATGTCTCCCATTTAATGGAATATCATGCAGTGTCTTTGTGATTCCAAACTTTTCTACCAGACGAGTAATTGTTGGTAGAGCAAAAGGATCCTGCTATACAGGGTGCGATAGGAAAATTGTCACCATTTTATATTTCTAATTTTGCGCATGCGCTTTGTTTGTTTTCGATTTTGTCGCCTGCTCAATATAGTAGGGTCAGTTGGGCACCGTCTGTGAGAAAAAAGATTACCATGACGCAATTCACTCCGCCAGAAATTTGAAAACGGCATACAGTACTGCTTAGCATTCGCGCCGGAAGCCCCAATACGAACATGTCAGAGTGTTTGGGTGTCAATTTGAATACAGTGCAGAGAATTCGGAAAGAGTTGGATGAGTCTAATGGTGATTACGAAGGTAGGACAGCTCGGAAAACTCACTCTGATCGCGCTAATAAGAACAGAACTCTCGAATTTTTTGGCAAAGGCTTCAAACTCAACACGGAGGCCTAAAATAAGTGCATTGAGGAGTTAGTGCGGACTGGGTCAAGAGGTTAAGCGTAGTTTAGTTGTGGCACAAGGCCGTAAGTATGGGGCACCCACTGAGGATTGAACTCACTACTAAGTCGTAATTGATCAAGCGAGACAAGCTTGATAACCATTACACCACACCAAAGTACCCAATGTCCACATTTTTTTCAAATTGACAAATCTGGTTGACACGTTATTTGTTTGTAACCTATTTAATGTATACAGGGTGCGATGGATGAATTGTCGTCCAAATTACACAAAAATGAAAATAACAATAAAATATCATTTTAACAGATAATATTTACCAAAATTACATATCTTGAAATACTAAAGAGTAAATTTATTCAGTAAAATCGCCATTGATTTCAACCACGGCCTGCAGATGACTTCGGAATCTCCTGCAACTCTTCTGGGCGGTCTCCTTGTTTAAGTTGGTGAATGCTACCATAATCCTTACCTTCAGTTCGTCTTTGGCGTTACAAGGAGTTTTGTTGGTTTCTCGTTCAACTGCGCCCCGCAGATAATTATCAAGGGGGTGCGGTCTGCGGAGTTAGGCGGCCAGATGTTGCAGAAATTGTCTGACAGGCATGATTGGGCTCTCTTGCTTGTGTGGCATGGTGCAGAATCCGATTACCAGACATAGGGTATTCCAGCAGCCACCCTCTTGACACAGGGTACTACTACCTCGTCAAGGCACTTGGTGTAGGCTACCGCGTTGAGTCTGAGGCTCTGTGGGAAGATGAATAGAGGCATAACGTCGCCATCACTCCAAACACCGTCGTAATCACCATTAGACTCACCCAACTCTTTCCGAATTCTCTGCGCCCTCCTCAGATCTGAAATGTTCGTATTGGATCATCCGTCGCGAATTCCAAGAAGTACAGAATGTCGTTTCCAAATTTCTGGTGAAGTGAATTGCGTCATTATGCCCTTTTTTTTTCTCACAGACGGTGCCAAACTGACCCTACTATACTGTGCCGTCAGTAAAATCCCAAACAAACAACGCGCATGCGCGAAATTGAAAAAAATAAATAAATAAAATAACGACAATTTACCTATCGCACTCTGTATTTATTTACAATCTTCTCCTTCTATGTGCTGTGTCCCTTTATGACGTCGGCGATCATGATTCTCCACAATTTCCTCTCCTTTGTAGCGCTTAATAAATTTTGTCTTTTTGTTATCTTTCCTAAATCCTGCTCTGTCATCCATTTATTCAAACTCGCTAGCATTGCTTTCCTCGTACCTTCATTCTGTCCTGTGAGTATCAAATTTTCCAAGCCTTATGTACCCTAGAAATTTCAGCTGCCACTTTCTTATCTTAAGTGTCATTTTGTTTTCATATTTTCAAAAACTTTCTCATTGCTCACATGTTCAATCCATGGCATCCTTCTATAGAACCACATTTCTGTTGCTTCAAGTTTTTTCTTCATCTGTGAGGAGATTGCCCAATATTCATTGACATGTAGGGGGACTGATATTACATAATAGTTCAGTATTCTTTTATTAGCTTCTCACGAAATTTTCCTGTTTCTTAATATAATAGCTGTTTACAGACGAAAGCATAAAAAAACTACCAATGTTTACCTATGAACTCGCGTATAATTAAAAAAAAATGATTTCAACGTTGATAAAAGTTGATATGTCATAAAATCCACCAACTAACCCACTTATAAAAATGTCTTTGTAGCGCCCTCTACCGCCACATTTCTCAAATAGCTGGTCGTTCAAAATGCAGAGAAAGACAAAGCGTGAATGTTGGCAATGCGTACGTGTTTTGTCACTTTATGTTAATCATGACGTGTTCTTAAGTAACGTGACTGGTTTACAGTGGAAACACCCCCTATTCATCTGCTCCAAAGAAGACCAAGGTCGTTTCATCTGCAGGGAAGGTGATTTTCCCAGTTTCTTAGAATGCAAAATGCATTGTGCTTATTGATTATCTTCAAAAGG